CTAGCCTCAACAATTGACGACGGTGGTCAGTGGCTTGCACGTTGGCTGAAGCCCCCAGTCCTCTTACAAGATCTTGTTTTGCTTGAGAATGAGGATCTAAGACACAAGCAAAGGGAGCATGTGAGTAATCTATATTATGTTTGTTCTACAAAGTAGATAGTCAACAGTCTGTCATACTTAAAAACCCAAAAATCACCAAATTCCAAGACCTAAACCGCTGCCTTGCATCCATATTGGTCTCAGTAGTTTGGCAAATTAAAAGGTGTGTTTTGATTGGCATTTAATTTGGTTGGTGTAGGGGCTTTTTTTCTTCTGGCAGCAAGTGGGCTGGGCTGCTGTAAAGAGCAATCTGATGCAAGTGTCCCCTTGTGTCTGAGTTTGAAGATCAAGCCCCAAGGATGTCTCGAAAGGGTGATGACGCCTTAGGAAACTCCTTGGTTACCTTCACCAATGAAAATGACAACAAATTACAGATAAATATTCTAGCTTGGCATGAGTGACTTATGGCATAGGGGCAGAAATTATCATGGGTTTAGCATTTTAGGAGAGAGATCTGTGGGTTCCTATGAGGTACAGAGGTTCTAATGAGGAGGGAGAGAGGTTCTAAGGAGGTTTGATGAAGAGGGAGAAGGATGGTGAAGAGTTTTGGGTGACTTTCGCAGTTTCCGGCAGCTTGACAGTGACTCTGTCAAAGCTTCTGTCAATCTGCCAAAACAGGGGAAATAAAGGAAAATGAGGAAGGATAGCACGAAAATTCCTGGGTTTGCATGTGAGAGAGAAAGCTTGCTCTCTGAAGGTTGTGGGTTGTGTTGTGTTGGGTAGAAGGGGTCCTATTTATAGCTGCTGAGAATGGGTCTTCTCCAAGAAACCCTAATGGTTTCTTTCCAATCTAGCTAAGCTTTCCTCTTCCTTTCTTCTCCTCTTTCTTGACTTACCTCATGGAGGCAAAAATCAGTTCTACCCAATCCCACAAAATCAGGGATTTTTGGGAGATCGAGGCTTCAGCAGCTTCAGAGGAGAGCTTCCATTTTCACCCATCCTCTTTCTTTTCTTTCCTCCTCTTTCTACGGCCAAATCTGATGAAGGAAAGAAAATGGGTGCGCCTGCTGGTTTAAGGGATAGCATCTTCCCCTGCGTGCCAATACCCCTTGGTTTCTTGAATGCTTGCACTTGGAACTTGTTCTCCCAGCAACCCCTCACATGTGAATCTTTGGCTTTCTTCGTGGCCTTCTGCTTCAGCCAAGTGCTGAAGGCCTTGGACTTCTTTTATTCAAATGGTATGGGCCCTTTAATATAGAAGACCAAGTCATCTAATAAGTGGGTTAAATTCACCAAGTATTTGGGCTTTATGGGCTATCTAAAGTAATGGGTTATTTTGGTTGGGCTACTCTAGTTGAAGCAATTGGGCTATTTCCTCTCTTGTGCTTACCCACGTTTGAGCCTAAGAAAATGGGCTTAAGTCCCGAGGCCCCCAAGCGACCCGAGACTTCCATTTCTCAGCCCATCAATGGACCCCATGACAATTCGTTACCATCCATACCACAACCCACTCAAGCAAGCCCCGAGCATTTGAGTGGCTTGGGCCCACTTAAGCTTGTAGTGCGATTGGGTGTGAAATAATAATTTCTCGCTTGGCATGGCATGTTCCTTGGCATGCTTTTAAATATGACTTATTTCAGCTGCATGTGTATTAAGGATTCTACCGTGCGTGTCTAGGGAGCAATAGTGCCCTGGTTGGACTACTCAGTCTCTAGCCACATGAGCATTGAGGATTCTGCCATGTGATCTAGTAAAACAATCCCCACGTTGGATTGTTTTTCCCTGGTACATAACTATGGATGTGCGTGCGTGTATTTGTATAAAATGGTTTTGAGATTAAACACGTTTTTAAATCAAGCATGCGTTAA